TTGTATTTTTTATTTTTCGTCGAAAGCCCCCCTGTAGGGGGACAGGCCCGACTTAGAGCAAAGGAGATCCGCGCTGACATTTCGAACGTTCAGCTTCATGCAGGTGTTTGCTTCTGCGGGAGCCATACCATCTCACTGCACAGAACCCCATCACCTCTGTTCGCAGGGCCGTGTGTCGAATCGGACTCGGTCAGACTTCCTCTGGACTTCGTGGGGACATACGAGAGAGGAAAAGGCATGGGAGAATGAGGAGGATTGGCGGCGTCCAAGACCTGGGCATGCGACATCTCATTGTTTTCATACGGGGTTCCCGGAAATCCCTACCTTTTCCCCATGAGTGGTGTTTCATCCCGAATCGTTTGTGTGTGATCCTGGGGCCCGCCAAGGGCCCCCAGAGGCCGAAGATGGCCAACAACTTGCCGTCGTGAATTCTGCCACGACGCCACCATGCACAATTTCGAACCTCCCGGGGTCTGGACGCCCGACATGGGTACCGAACAAGCGGGTACGACTCCCATCAGCAATTATTGTGCCCCAAACCCACAGCGGCCTCTGTTGGGCAGGCAGTTCCCCGTCTCGAGTGGACGGCGTTCGCAGCGACACCAACAGCGAGTCCCGCTCAAAATGAAGAGGAACTGCTATCGAGTCTTCGTGCAGCCGGTTCGCGTCGCGATGTCGCGGGAGTTGGTTTCTGACACCACTTGGATCTTTCAGCCTTGAACGGTCGCGGCCCTCTGATAGCGCAGATCGCTCGGCATCGGCCGCCTCTGGGCCGCTAGCGGAGTTTCTTGAACGCCCGCGCTGGGGTCGCCGCCGCCCCACCGCGGCGTAACCCCGGCATACCCATTTTGATCGTACTTGCCGCCAGGACAGACCTCAAAGAGGAGGTGGAGGAGGAGCAGGAGAGGAGGACGAGGAGGAGGAGGAAGAGGAGGAGGAGGAGGAGGAGGAAGACCAGGAGGAGAAGGGGCAGGGAGATGAGGAGGAGGAAGAGGAGGAGGAGGAGGAGGAGGAGTACATGCAGTAAGAAAGGAGATGGAAGAGGAGCAGGAGGAGGAGCGAAAGGAGGAGGAGGAGGAACAAAAGGAGGAGGAGGAAGAGGAGGAGGAGGAGGACAAGAAGGAGGAGGAGGATAATGAAGAGGAGGAGGAGGAGGAGGAGGAGGAGGAGGAGGAGGAGGAGGAGGAGGAGGAGGAGGAGGAAGAGAAGGAGGAGGAAGAGGAGAAGGAGGAGCATGAGGAGGAGCAGGAGGAGCAGGAGGTTCAGGCGGAGGAGAAGGAGAGGGAAAAGGAGGAGGCACGACCAGATCGAAACGAGTGCGCAGAGCGAGCGAACAGAGGGGAAAAGAGAAGGACACAGGCCGAGGGCGCGCAACCCGACGATTAAAGAGAGAACAGCCCGAGACGGAGCCTCGGACTACCGCAGACGAAGCCAGAAGCAGGCATCGTCTGTGGGGAAGAGAGGACGGGGCTCGCCCCGCCACTCACCAGAGCGGGGGTCTCTACCAACCACTAGGCGCTCTAAATAGGTGGCGTCCTTGCTGGATGCAACTCCCTCGCACGGCCCCCACAAACGAGAGCGAGGGGCCGCCGGCTGGGCCCTGGCGCCGCAGCGGTGGCAGAATGCAAGGGTCTCACCAGCAAGACTGATTTGATGTCCCCTAGCACTACTGGGCCCAACAGGGCCTTGAGCGGGGAGAGGGACCTCAGGGCGGGTGGCCTCACGCGCGACCCAGGAAGGCCCACCAGGACCCCCAGAGGTCCGAGGGCGCTTGGAGGGCGGAGGCCCCACAAGCTCCCCAGAGCCCGCAGGCTCACCGACGCCCGAGGCAGAGGGCGCAGCCCCCGTCCGAGGCGCCTTCGGACAAGGCCCCTCCAGGGGCCCACCAGCCCTGGGGAAAACGAGGAGGAGGAGGAGGAGGAGGAGAAGCAGCGGGAGAAACAGGAGCACGAGGGGCAGGACAAAGAGAGGCAGGAGGAGGAGGAGATCGGGCAGGAAAAGGAGGGGGAGGAGGAGAGGAGGAGAGAGGAGGAGGAGGAGGAGGAAGGAGAGGGAGGAGGAGGAGGAGGAGGAGGAGGGAGGAGGAGGAGGAGGAGGAGGCGCAGTAGGAGCAGGAGGTACAGGAGGAGGAGAGGAGGAGGAGGAGGAGGAGGAGGAGGAGAAGGTGGAGGAGAGGAGGGAGGAGGAGGACGAGGAGGAGGAGGAGGAGGAGGAGGAGGAGGAGGAGGAGGAGAGAAAAGAGGAGGAGGAGAAAGAGGAGGAGGAAGAGGAGGAGAAAGAGAAGGAGGAGGAGGAGGAGGGGGAGGAGGAAGACGGGGAGGAGGAGGACGAGGAGGAGGAGAAGGAGGAGGAGGAGGAGGAGGAGGAAGGGGAGGAGGAGGAGGAGGAGGAGGAGGAAGAGGAGGTGGAGGGGTTGGAGGAGGAAGAGGCACGAGGATGAGCACGAGGAGGAGGAATCGGAGGAAGAGGAGGAAGAGAAGCAGCAGGAGGAGGAGCAGAGCAGGGGAGGACGAGTAGTGAGTGAACGAATGAGCGGCCTACAGCCGGTCGACGTCGGCCCCGCGCCGGGGCGCGCGGCAGGCCTGGTCAGCCCCCGAGCGAGGCGAGGTAGGCAACACCCGGTGGAGGCGCAGATGGCGCAGGTAGGAGGCCCACTGCACCGCCGCCGCCCCCAATCCCGCCGCCCTCAGACGGCGGGCCCACGAGGAAGACCTCCCCACACTCCTCCCCGAAGACGAGCTGCAGCACGAACGAGGCAGTCGTCCAGGCCCCCGCCCTCCCTCACGTGGGCCGCGACCGCGTCGGCCCCGCGCTCGCAGAGTTTGATGCCCTTCTCCTCGAGGGCGCCCTTCACCTGGCACGCCACCAAGTCGCCCTTGACGACGTCAGCATACCGTGGCGCCCCTGGCTGCCCCGAAGACCTGCCCTTGCCCTTGCCCTGCTTGGGGGCTCCATTGCCGCGGTCACGGGCGCGCTTCGTGAAGATGTATTCCGCCTCGAGGTTTCCCATCGGCAGCTCCGCCCCTCGGCCACGGGCGGATCGCGGCTCTTGGGCCTCGCGAGGCCTAGACCGGTCAGGCCGCCTTCCTCCTCCTCCTCCTCCTCCTCCTCCTCCTCCTCCTCCTCCTCCTCGCCTCGCGTCGCCTCAGGTGCCGACGCAGACGACGATGGAGGCGGAGGGCGAGGAGGCGCACACCTTGTGCGTGGGCCAAGGCGCCTTGCTCCTCCAAGGCGCGAGCTCCGGCCACGTCGCGCCCTCCTGGGCGCGATGGCCGCCCCCCCCCCCCCCCCCCCGCCTGGAACGCTGTAGTGCCAGGAAGGGGGGTGGGGAAGAGACCCCCCTGGTCTGGCGGGGCCGCTGCGCGCGCCGACCGCAAAGCGGCAAGCGCACGCCGAGTAAACTCGGCGGGAGGCCCCACCCACCGCTTTATTATGGTGTGGGTGGGCGGGACCCCCCCAAAAACAATGGCGCAGAGGCCGCAAGCGGCCCTGAGCCAAAGGCAAGGAGAGGAGGCGCGAAAAGGGCGAGAGGCAGAGGGGGGACAGGGGAGAGGGGCTACGCCAGGCTGGGAAACCCTATGTTCTAACGAACGTTCATGTTTCCCATCGGCAGCTCCGCCCCTCGGCCACGGGCGGACCGCGGCTCTTGGGACTCGCGAGGCCTAGACCGCTCAGGCCGCATTCCGCCTCCTCCTCATCATCATCATTATCCTCCTCCTCCTCCTCTTCCTCCTCCTTCTCACCTCGCCTCAGATGCTGACGCAGACGACGATGGAGGCGGAGGGCGAGGAGGCGCGCACCTTTTGCGTGGGCCAAGGCGCATTGCCCCTCCAAGGCGCAAGCTCCAGCCACGTCGCGCCCTCCTGGGCACGACGGCCGTCGCCCCCCTCCGTGCTCTGGCGCGCGCTGCACCTCGAGCCGCGGGGCCCACCTCGAGGGCCCCCGCTCGTACTCGCGGGGGGGCCTGGCCCCGCGCTGACCCAGCACTCCTATACTGCCCTGCACTTCGCCATGGGGCGGTCGGGGTCTGACGCGCTCGGGGTAGGCTGTCGCCAGGGTCTCTGGAGGAACTCGCCCCACCTTGCCCCTCCCCCGCCGCCCCTCTCGGGGCCTCCGGCGGCGTCCGTCCCGCCTCGCCCGCAGACCTACCTCTGTGCCCCCTCTTCTGATAGCCCATCACTGGGCCGCCTCCGCCGCCTCGCCGGCCACGACGCTCCCCTGCGCCCCCAGCTCGAGGCCCGCGGCCATGAACTGCCCGCGCGCCGCGAGCCTCAGGCCCCATGCGGCGGCTCGGGCGTTAGACCATCGTGGCGTCCGTGGCCGCCATACTGCTGGCCACTCCTTCCGCCATGCCGCGCGCCTCCCAAAGGTAGCCCTGGAAAGCATCGCTCTTCCACCTGCCCCAGCGCTGCGCGAGCGCCGTGTCCTTGAACGCCGCGTAGAGCGCTGATGCTCCTCCGATCCTCAGGCCATGGGAGCCTAGATCGTTCGGGCCCATGCTTTCCGCCACGGCCAACTGCATCACCACGCGCTGGACGTCCGCCCTCGTGACAAGACGCACATCGTCGTGGGCGAAGAGCGGGTCGTGCATCCGTGCACCTGGAAAACGCTCTCGCGCCCATCCCTCGTAGATCTCCAGCGCCTCCACCACGCAGATGCGCTCGTCCTTCTCGGCGCCAGACGGAGCCTCGACCCGGAAGTGGTTGCGCCACTCTCCTCGATTGCACTGGTCTGTCTGGCTGGCCCGGATCTAGATCACAACCTCGTTCGCTTCCTTCCAGTCCCGCGTGGGATCCCCACCCGCTTTGGGGGCCACATCCGCGCCTCGAAGACCCTTGCCGCCTGCGTAGCCGTTCTGGTCGCCGGAGACGTACTCGCTGGCCCCCAGCAGGGCGAAGTAGCCCGTGGCCACCGCGGCCCACAGGGCCGCGCCCTCCCTCAACCTCTCTGGCTGCAGCTTCCGCCTGATCCACCTCATCATGCGGGGCGTGACCGGCTTCTTGCGCTTGGTGTCACCGTCGCGCCTCCTGAGCCCGTCAATCGCCTTCCAGAGCCTACTAGCACCCTCAGTGAGGTCACCCATGCCGAGAGCAAGAAGCTGAGCCAGGACCGAGCTCAAGCACTGCTTGATGGCCCCTGCCTTCTTGCAGCCTCGGCGCGCAAAGTGAATGACGAACTCCAGCAGCAGCTCCTCCTCATCCCTCCTGTTCGCGGCCGTGACCTCCCGCAGCGGGCTGATTCCTCTCGTCCGGCAGAAGAGGGTCCACCACCTCCAACCCACACTGCCCGACTTGATGGTGGAGCTGGCCAGCTCGTCGGGGATGACCTCTAGCTTGGTCCTCTCCCAGTCCTCGCGCGTCTTGAGGTCTGTCATAGTGAGGTCGCCTGGGCGGGCGCTGGACCGCGCAGCCTCCGGGTCCAGAAGGTTGGGCGGCTTGTTCTCGTAAGGGGCATGACTCTTGCTGCTGCTCCTCTTGCCCTTCCGCGTGGGCGCGCCCGCCGTGCGATCCCGACCTTCGCTAGCACCCAACGCTGCCAGAGCCCTGTCGAGCCAACCCCCTATGATTCGGGTAGCCCCACGCTCGCACGAACGCCTCCAGCCCCTCCTCTGCCTCGGCCTGCTCGAGGCATCCGCTCCTGCGGTCGTCTCCACCTCCGCCTCTGCGTCGGCGACCCGCCTCGTGGTCGCGACGCCGGCCCGATCCCTTCGCCACGGTCTCGAGATGCGCCCGCGCTCCCGCCTGGCTGGGCCCAGCGCCGCTAGAGCCTCGCACGTCCGCCAGGTAGCGTGCCACCGCGCGCGGGTCAATCTCGGCATCCTCGCCCGGGATCAGCCCGCGGGCCGTGCGCGGGCTCTCTTCGCCCGGGACCAACCTGCGCCGAGCCCCCTCCTTCCGGGCCTCCTCGGCCCGCCTCGTCCTCTCTGCGCTCGATCCTGATGGCCTGCGCCCGCAGCTCCGCCATCCTGGCATCGTCGCTGGCCGCTAGGCTGGCCTCCTTGACACCCCCCGGAAGCCCTGGCCTGGTTGAGCTCGCCGCTGACGCACTTACCCACCCCTCGTCCACGATGGTGGCGCTCCTTCGGGGTGGGCTGCGAGAAGACGTCCTCTCTCGGGGCACGGGCATCGGCAGCGGCCCCCTGGCACTCCGAAAGTCGGCCCCGTGCGTGGGCCGCGGCGGAGCAGACCGCACCTTCCGCTTAGGGCTCGGGGGGCGCCTGCTTCCCTCCGATGACCTCGACCTCTCCTGTTCATCGGTGGTGTTCGGCTCCCGCGCGGCATTCCCCCCCCTGCTGCGTGCGTCTCGGATCCGCGCCTTGAGGGCCTCAGCCTCCGTCAGGGCGCGCTCGGCCTCAGACTAGGCCCGCTGGTAGCCCCTGTCCATCTCCTCCAGCTCCCCTGGCCCCCCTCCTGCGGCCATCGCGGGCCGACGCCAAACCAGCCGATGCCTTCGCGCCCTCGCCCTCGGAGTGTAATTCCTCCTTGACAGGCGACGGCAACATCCTTGCCGTCAGCATGATGCGCGCGTCCAGCTTGTTCTTGCGAGTGGCCCAATGCGCCGCCTCGGCGCCCGCCTTGACTCGAGCCTCTGCCTCTCTCTCCCCCCCCCTAAGTTCGCTCGGCGACGGGGGCGGGCACTCTGGTGGCGATCCGCCGCTCCCGGAAGCAGCAGCGGCAGCAGCCGCAGCGGCCTCGACAACAGCGGCAACATCGCCAGATGGTGCCTGCTTCTTCTTCCTCCGCCGATCCGGCCGCCGCCTCCGCCACCTGCGTTCGGCTGCTGATCCTCGTTCTGGCCGTGGGTCACCTTCTCGCAGCACTTGTAGTAGTTGACGCCGCCCTCTGCCCAATCCTGTCCGTTGTGCCGGCCGCCGCACTTGTCGCAGCAGTAACCCGGCTTCCAGAGCTCCCGCGGATCACTATGCTCCAGGTAAGGGCACCCCGGGTTAAGGCATGGGGCGAGCGTCCTAGCTCGTGCCTGCTTATCTGCCTTGGCCTGCGTCACCTCAGGTCCTGCCGCCGCCGCGCCCGACGAGCTGGCCGCTCCAGGCGTGGGCGTGCCAGGACCCTCCGCCGTCCACTTGCCCTAGCGCTCGTCGTCGTCCACTGCGCCTGCCCGCCTGTCCGACCCGCTGGCTCCACTCCCCGCGCCGCTCTGCGCATGCCGAGCTTCGCGCGCCGGTCCGTGACTGCGCCCCAACGTGTACCAGCACGTCCTGCATCAATAGAACACAGGGGTCGACAGCACCGGCAGCCTCCTCCGGCAGCCCTCCATATAGCAGACGCCCTCCTCCTCTGGGTTGATCCTCCTACGCCTAGCGCGGGCCTCGCCCTCGGTCTCCTCGTAGCTGGGCTCCTCAGGCCACTGGGCGTCCTTGAAGTCCCGCCCCTCGCGGTCCTGGCCGACGCAGACGTGCAAGCATCGGAGCAAGTTCGAGCGTGCGAACCCCATGGAGCTCAGCCCGTAGAAGCACACCAGGATGAACGTGCACCCCGACATGTGAATGACCACTGGCATCATTCCGTCGAGAGCGCGTCCTTCACCCGCACGAAAGAATTGGGCAGAGCAAAAAGCTCCGAAACTCCAAACTTGTAGGTGCCCCTTGTTGATGACCCATTCTCCACCTTCATTGGCCCGCTCGGAATGCCCTGGGGCAACAGCACGATCGTGACTGCGCGGTCGAGCGGGGTTGGCGAAGAGGCAGACTCCTGCTGCACGAGCGCCCTGCTCCCAGCGTCGCACTGCAGACTTGCCCACGCGCGTCTCCGCCATGGCGAAGATGTCGAAAATTCCAGATGCGCCAACTCGCACAGGTGACGTTGCCAAGAAGGAGCAATGTGCAGGGAACCCTAACGGAATCAGACGAGGAGGACTCCTGCGTGCTGGTCGGGCTTGCCGTAGATGTGCTGCGTGCTTCGCCTCTGGACGATAGCGAGGCTGAGGGGGGGGATGTGGCTGGACCAGTAGACGACGGCGTGGGCGGTGAACTCGGTGATCCAGACCTGACCGAGCTCCCCGCCGTCGTTGATCACTCAGCGCCCGCTGCAGCAAAGCCCTTGCACTTGGCAGACTCGGGGGCAAGGCCTCTGCTGTTCACCTGGGCCCGCTGGTTCAACTACATGGCCTCGGCGGCGGCGAGCTCGGCCTCCGAAAGCTTCGCCGCCTCCGCCTTCACTGCCTCCCCGTGGGCAGTGCCCCCAGCGGCCTCGGTGGCAGCTGGTGCCGAGGCGGCGCCAGTGGCGGGCGCTGTCGCTGCTGGGGAGGCTGAACCTGCAGCTGGATGTGCCTCCCCCTTTCTCGCCGCCTGAGAAGCCTCAGCTGGTTCGTCCTCATCGTCGACGCGCCTCTCCTTCTGCGTCCTAGCTTCGATTTGCTGGCGGATGGCGACGGCCCTCTCCAACCAGCCACGGATCTGCTCCTCGCGTTGACTGAGGTTGGCCTTGGCCTCCTTCAGCTGCGCCTCGGGATCCTGCATATTATAATTCTCGCCGCCTCCAGCTCATCCATGTCCGCGAAGATGTTCTCATTCCACGAAAGGTGAAAGATGGGCTAGTCCCCTGGGGTTGCGGCATCTGGGTTCTTCACTACACCTTCGGTCTGTGCAAGACGACGTGCCGCCTCCTGCTTGGCGGGCGCCGCACAGGCCAAGAGAAGGGCGGCTGCCCTCTCCTTATCCTACGTAGGCTGCCGTGACGAATCCCTTGAAAGGACCACCGCATTCACAAGCTGGGCGCGCTTGGTGTCCGCGTCGCGCCAGGCCGAGTCCGCCTTGAGCACCGCCTCCGCTGCCATGTCCTGGGCGGCGGCGCGCTGGAGGCGCAAGCTGTCGAGCTTGGCGTACTCGGCCTGCAGGGCGCTCTTGATGAGCGGGTCGGTGGTGACCTTGATCGCATTCGCCAAGTGCTTGGGAGGAGAAGCAGCGGAGAAGGAGTAGGAGGAGGAGGACTTGATGGGGTTGGAGGAGGAAGAGGAGGATGAGGAGGAGGAGGAGGAGGAGGAGGAGGAGGAGTTGGAGGAGAAGACGGAGGAGGAGGGTTGGAGGAGTTGGATGGGGTTGGAGGAAGAAGAGGAGGAGGATGAGGAGGAGAAGCAGGAGGGAAGGAGGAGGAGGAGGAGGAGGAGGAGTTGGAGGAGAAGAAGGAGAGGAGGAGGGGAGGAGGAGGGAGGAGGAGGAGGACGGTCGAGGAGGAGTTGGAGGGGTGGAGGAGGTAGGAGGAGGAGGAGGAGGAGGAGGAGGAGGAGGAGGGGAGGAGTTGGAGGAGAAGAGAGGATGAGGGAGTTGGAGGAGGAGTTGGAGGGGTGGAGGAAGAAGAGGAGGATGATGATGATGAGGGGAGGAGCAGGAGGAAGGAGGAGGAGGAGGAGGAGGAGGAGGAGTTGGAGGGGGAGGAGGAGAGGAGGAGGAGGAGGAGGAGGAGGAGGGGAGGAGGAGGAGGAGGAGGAGGAGGAGGACGGGAGGAGGAGGTCGAGGAGGAGTGGATGGGGTGGAGGAGGCAGTCACGAGGAGCAGGAGGAGGAGGAGGAGGAGGAGGAGTAGGAGGAGGAGGAGGAGAGGAGGAGGAGGAGCTGGAGGAATTGAGGGGTTGGAGGGGTTTGGAGGGGTTGGAGGGGGAAGAGAAGAAGGAGGAGGAGGAGGAGGAAGAGGAGGAGGAGGAGGAAAAGGCGGAGGAGGAGGAGGAGGAGCTGGAGGAGCAGGAGGAAGGGGGCTGCGGCGGGGCCTCCCGCGGGGCCTGCAAGCCGTTGGACCCCGAGCCCTCCGGCGGCAGCCCAGAGCGGCTGCCGGCGTCGCCCGGGCGGCCGCCCGGAGCGGGCCACGCGGCCGCCTCGGCGGGTCGCCGCCGCCCGCGGTCGCCACGCGTCGGGCGTCAGCCGTCGCCCGTGGCCGCCGCCACCGACGCAATCGCCGTGGCGGACGGCTGTCGGTCGTCGGCCGTGCCGCCGCCGTCGCCGCCGTCTCCGTTGTCGTTGGGGTCGCCCCCTCGCAGGGGCGTGGGCTGCGCGCACGGGAGGGGGGAGGAGATGACCCGGAGATACAGAAGCGGTGGATGCAGCATTGTCCTAGTAGGCTGCTTCCCAATTGTCTGCCGGATCCAATAACTTGAAACACAGTGCTGTAAACCTTGGAAACAGAAAGAACAGCCAGGATACATATTTCCCGCGATTGAGACCATTTCTGATCAATTTATGCACGCCAAGCACGATACGAATACATCAGCGTGGTTTGCCACTGTCGTCTGGAATCTCAATGACTACGCGGACACAGTCGACCGTTGACAAAGGCGTCCAAATTTGGGCCCAGAGACTCATGTTCGAAGGCATGGCTTGCCAAGCAGCGCACGCGACACAAGGAATCACATCACTAGGTTCGACCAGGACATACGAAGCCAAAACCATCGTAACTGCCAGAACGGGCTCAGCTGTGAAGAATACACGGGCGACTTGCCTTTGTTTGCCTTTGTTTGCACGGGCGCGCGTTGGAAGAATAGCAGCAGCTGGCTTTGCGGCTGAAAGGTGTGCCGGGCACCCTGAATCTAACATACGCTGCAATGACAGGGGGTGTGATGTTGCCAACCAGTGCGGGCACCTCACGCAGCTCGCGTTTGCGGAATAGGCCCACATGCTATGCGAACAAGCGCACTGCAACAAACTTAAGGTGCGACTGCTCAGCACGCAAGGCACGGCATGCCCAAGGTTGCTCCACAATCATCACTTCACACGCTCGCTCAAAGAAACCAGCAACCAGCCCTTAACTACTCTACAGCTTTGTGGGACCCGGAAACGGCAGGGCCGTTTTTTTCACCGTTTCCAAAACAAAATCCCTTGAAAATGGAAACGGCAAAAAAACGGCGACCGGAAACAGCAACAAAAACGGCTCCAGGATTGGAACTGGAGCTGGAACCGGTCAAAAAACGGCGACGGAACCGGTAAAACAAAACGGCGTCGGAACCGGCAAAAAAACGGCAAAACGGAACTGGTAAAAAAACGGCCTTGTCGTTTCCAGGGCCCACTAAGCTCTACAGCACGACAGCTGAGAGGGCCAGCCAATACAGGAGCACACCAGCACGCGCTGGGGTGTTGCCTCGTCCTCGACAGCCGTCCGACGGTCTCTACGCAGTCCGTCCTCTGCACGCGGACCCGTTGGAGCCCTCCCCTCCGCCGTCTGCACCTTCCTTGACCGCTCCATCCACAATGCTGGGTGCGATGCAACGTCTTCTTACTCCGCGTTTCGACATGGGGCGGAAGGGGGGGGAGGGGGGGCGGTCTAGCTCCGGACATCTGCTCAGTGCGACTGTTTACAACAGTGCGTCCTACGGAGGAGACTCCACCTGCTTGAGACAGGCACCAACAGCAGCCACGATCAAATCCATGGGGGGGGAGGGGGTGCGAGGGCCCGCGCCGTTCGGCACAACAATGAATAAGAAAACGATCACACTTCGCGTGTACGCGTCTCGTAGATGCTTGACTCGCGCCCGCGCTCCTCCTCATGCTCCTCCTCCTCCTCCTCCTCCGCCTCCTCCTGCCCCAGAAGCCTAAGATGAATCCGCCTCCTCACGCCGTCATCCTCAGCAGCCCTCCACATGTACATCACCCATACTCCGAAGCATCCCGATGGCGCCTAAACTGCCGCAGGGCGGACTCGAGGGAGCGGGGGGAACTCGAGGGGCCGTGCCAGTCGCGCGCGAGAACAGCCAGCGGGGAGGGGCGGGGCACCGTCCGGGGCGTAAGGGAAGACCAGGACAAGGCACGCGGCCGCGAGGCCTCCTAGTCATCGTCCGCCTAAGAGTGACTCCTCAGAAGAGGCTAAGACGAAGTAGGACGAAGAGAGAAGAAGAAGAAGAAGATAGAAGAAGAAGAATAAGCCTCCTCCCTCCTCCTCCTCCTCCCTCTCCTCCTCTCCTCCTCATCCTCCTCCTGCCTCCCTCCTCCTCATGCCTCATCCTCCTTCCTCCTCCTCCTCTCCCTCCTCCCTCTCCTCTCCCCTCCTTCCTCCTCCTCATCCTACTCCTCCTCCTCCACCTCTCTCCTCTTCTCCTCGAGGTATCCCTCCTCCTTCCTCCTCGTCCCTCTCCCCTCCTCCCCTCCGCCCCGCGGGCTGCACACCCCCAGTGTCGGCCCCCCCCCCCCTCTAGCAGTCCATCCTCCGTCCTCCCTCTTCCTTAATCCCTCTCCATCATCCCTCCTCACTTCCTCCACTCTTCCCCCTCCTCACCTCCTCCTCCTCCTCCTCCTCCTCCTCCTCCTCCTCCTTTTCTCTTTTCGCGGACCCCCCGAGATCCCCTCCTCCCTCTCTTCCTGTGCACGCTTTTGATTCGGCGTTTCGACATTGGGCGGAAAGGGGGAGGGTGAGGGGGGGGGGATCTGGCTCCAGACCTCTGGTCAGTGCGGCTGCTTGCGAGATTGCGGCCTCTGGGGGCGACTCCACCCCGCCCGAGACAGGCGCCCCAAAACAGCCAAGATCTACTCCATAGGGGGGGGGAAGGGGGGGGGCCCGCGCCGAT